CGTAATTGTGCGGGCCTGGCTTTCGGTGCTGGCGCTGATACTGTATGTGTACCTCACCCCAGAAGTTTCTGTTCCTGATACCGACTCCAATATCGCAGACTGTATCAGTGATACTGAGCGCGATCCTTGCCCTATTGCATCACCCGGAAATTCAACAGAAGGCGCACGCAGAGTTGGATGAAATTGTAGGCCGGAAGAGGCTCCCAGAATTCGAGGATCAAGATGAGTTGAAGTACATTCAAGCGATCGTGTTCGAGGCTATGAGATGGCGACCAGTCACCCCTCTCGGTATGAATCATTTTGATATCACAGAACAAAGCTGTACCTCATTGCTGCTATTCATACTAGCCATGCCCCACGCTAGTGTCTCCGACGATATCTATGAAGGCTACTTCATTCCCGCTGGTAAATTTGGCGTCTTCTCATACATTGACCTTTATCAAATCTGTTTTGTATAGGGTCTGTTGTCTATGGAAACTCGTGGGCAATTCTTCATGACGAAACAACGTACCCCGACGCGGAAGCCTTTGTCCCCGAGCGCTTCATGGGAGATAACCCTCAAACCAATCCAACGACGATTGGCGCTTTCGGGTTTGGTAGGCGGATTTGTCCTGGGAGGCATCTGGCAATGAACTCGACATTCATTGCGGTGGCGGCGCTGCTGTGGGCGTTCGATATTCTTCCCGACGAGAAAGAGAAGGAAGCACTACCGGATGTGCACGCGTATTCGGACGGTGTCGTTTCGTGAGTCTCTCTCTGTGGCGTTGAGTTGATCTAATACGACGTGGTATACAGGCACCCTTTGCCGTTCAAGTGTAAGATTGTGCCGAGGTTCGAAGAAGTAGCCAGTTTGATTCAGTCTTCCGTTTCGTAGCAAAGTTCATGTTGATCGTGATTCCATTTTATTTATCAACTCATATCCTTCGATTTCGAGACCCTAACGAGATCGAAAGAATCGCGGTCGTATAGAAAACTACTCGATGACCATAGGGGGCGATGTGAGGCGGAACATCGGACCGGGTTCCGCTATTTCTCCTCCCACTACCTCCTTCGCCTGCTCGTTTTCATTACAAGATTCAATTTTTTTACACCATTCGGAAAGACTACGAAGCCGGGGTCAGACATAAAGGAATAGCCAATGTACAGAGTTGCCAGGGATCGACGACGGTCGTCTGTTCTTAACTCTAACAATTTCGCATCGCATCGCAAGCCGCGACGATTGAATGCGTTTTCGACGGACTAGTATGTGGTCGGCATTCTCATCCGTTATACTCTTGCCTCCCACCCACAACAACAAATCGCTAGTTATGCCTCTTTCAACGCCTCCAGGTGTCCTCGGTGATCCTTGGCCTCGTGCGGCGGCGGCGGCGCTACCCTTCGTCTTGAAGGAAGGCAGTCTCCTGATTGAGTATTAGGCGGTGGAAAGAAGACGTTCTTACCCACCGTTAGCCCTCATCAACGCACTAGAAGCGCCATTGACCTCGGCCCGCGCTGCTTTAGTTATCGAAGGGCTTAAAGTGAAAGAACTTGTATTATGGCCCACGGCTCGCCTTTCTTCTCCCTACTCCGATGAACTCTCTCCTTTTCCTAGCGGCGATGTTCGCCTTTGTTGCCCTCTTGAAATACAGACGCCGTCGTACATCAGCTCTACCACTACCTCCTGGTCCCAAACGCCTACCCATTATTGGCAATCTCTTGGATCGGCCGTGTCATCATGCGTGGTTGACGTACTCCAAGTGGGCGAAGCAGTATTGCTCTGACATTGTATCCATGGAAATCTGCGGTCAGACGGTCATTATTGTGAACTCTATAGAGATCGCCCGTGAGCTCCTCGAGAGACGGTCCACCGTTTACTCTGACAGACCAAGTGCGACCTTGGTAGTTGTTTCTACTATTGTCTCATTTACATTCTAGCATTCGGAATGCTGAACGACGTCATGAAATGGGATTGGAACTTTCCCTTCATGCATTATTCAGACCATTGGAGGTGGGACTCGTATACCCGAGCTATCTACCGCCACTCATCCTTCTCAGACTTTGTCGAAAGACTTTTCATCAACCCTTCAACATGAAACAAGTAGACACCTATCAGCCGGTGCAACCGAAGGCTTCTGTTTTCCTTTTGCGCAGCATGCTTGATGCCCCAGAAGAGTTCTTTGGACACGTTCGTCAGTAAGTTGGTACATTCGAGGTCTACATATTTCTTCTGACCGCAATGTTGACAGTCATGCAGGCTCCATTATATTGAAGATTGTTTATGGATACGAGACCCGTGGCAAAGATGACGAGTTCGTTCACCTGGCTGACAAGGCCATGCACGGTGCTTTGCAAGCCATGGTACAGGGAACGTACGCCGTTGATTACCTTCCCATTCTCAAGTTCATCCCCTGTGTGGTCCTTTCCATCTGACCGGGGCTGTACTGATTGTTCGAAGCTTGGCTACCTTTCTTTTCTTCTAACAAACACGCAAAGGTCGTGAAAACGGACGGGGAACATCTTATGAATGTACCTTTCGACATGGCAATGAATTCAGAGGGAAGCCGTTCATCTTGCTCTATGCTGCAAAAGTCATGTTTGTTGGTCACTAACTCGCCTATCAGGCCACAAGAAGTAACGACTCATCCTTCGTCTTGGAGCATATGGATAAGGTCAAGTCTGGAGGAGACGGCATAGACCAAGAGTACATGACAAAGGTTATCAAGCAAAGCGCTGCGGCGGCATTTGTAGGTTGGTTCGCACTTGTTACTTACTTCTCCGCACACTCAAGTTGCTGTTTGTTAGCTGGCGCCGATACGGTATGATTCCTACAAGCCATCACTCAAGAACTGACGACCGTAGACTGTCTCCCTCGTCTGCTCATCAATCCTCGCTCTGGTTCTCCACCCCAAAGTACAAGAAAAAGCCCAAGCGGAATTGGATGCGTTCGTCGGACGCAACAGGTTGCCCGACTTTGGCGACAAACCCAATCTCCCTTTTGTTGAAGCAGTTGTGCTGGAGGCGTTAAGGTGGCGCCCCGTCACGCCGACCGGTGCGGGTATTCTCACTTCAAGCGTTGCGACATCTGACTAATCTTGTTCACAGCCGTCGCACACGCGAGTTTATCGGATGATACTTATGCGGGATACTTTATCCCAGCGGGTACGTATGTGTATCTGCGCGATATGCTTGGGTGCTCAAAGCTTGCCAGGTTCGACGATGATTCCGAACACTTGGTCTGTGATACAACAACCGAAAGGCATATTTTCTTATCATTGTTGTTATAGGGCCATGATGTACGATGAGAGTGTGTACCCGAACCCCGGTGTGTTCGATCCCGAGCGATTCATGGGCGCGCATTCGGCTCCACATCCAACGTCCACCGGCGCCTTTGGCTTTGGACGACGGTGGGTTGCATTCCTTCCTTTCATCTTCTTTTCTACTAACCCGATTCTTGCAGCATCTGCCCTGGCCGGTTTCTCGCTCTGAGCTCGGCGTATACTGCTATCGCATCCTTGTTGTGGGCTTTTTCGATTGACAAGTCTATTGACGAGAATGGCGAGGAGATCGTTCCCGACGATGAGGACTATCATAATGGAGTTATTGCGTAGGTGGCTTTCAGGTTCCATTACAAACGGATCTGATACGGTGTCGGGCCCTAGACATCCTGCGCCGTTCAAATGTCGATTTACGCCCCGCTTTGGTACTGTCAGAGATGTCATTACGGACTTGTAATTCGACAAGATGGTTGCAGGTCTTATGTTTACGTTCCGCTATCAGATGATTTCGGACTTTATGTCTGTGGCAGCGACTTTATCTGATGTCCTGGGTAGAACATCGAGTGCGAACCTGAAGATAGCAGACCGAAGATGGTCACCGCTCAACACCTGGGTACCAGTGCGCCTCAATAAATCCGAACGACGCGCTATACTGAGACTGGTCTTTTCTGGACGTTTATCTCTTCCGGTGCCGACTTGCTAGTGGAGAGCTTGGATGTATATCGTCAGGACGCGAGATGATTGGGGAGCGGCTACCCATCTGGTCAATTCAGCGCCGTGCTGGATACGGGATAGTAGGAATCATGCAGAGCCATGGATTAAGTCGTCTTTCGTTTTGCTTCAACACGAGTTGCTCTTTCTCTTCCCTACCGCTCTGTGAAAGCACCACGTCCTCTTCCCATCTGATGATGACAGTATCCAAAATTTTCGAAAAGTGCGCTGTGTTTGAGGACGGCGAAGAGACGGCCCTGGCTCGGGTCATGATGTTTTTATAGAGGCTCTTCCCTCCGCCCCTGCCCACTGCCTCGTCGTGAAGTTCTCTGCGGACACTCCTCGTCTTTATTCTTTTCTGCTGCTAATAGCAAAGAACATATGTCAGCCCCTCGCTTGTTGCTGGTGGAAGGGCGTAGGCATCGATCTTGTTCTTTATAGCAGCGTACAGCATGAGACTCCGGAGGCAACAAGACGCAAGCTGGGTCCACACCCTCTTGCTTTGGCAGGTAGCAAGCACAGGATGTTTCCTATTGAGTGGGGAATGCATACCAATGTTGAACAAGATGTTGGACGTGAAACTTGCATAGGGAATAGCCATCTGATGACACACATACAATATTACTATGTTACCGCATGTCATGTTCCATCCATTATTGCTTTGCATTGCGCAACTAGTTACTCATACTTACTGCTACTTAGTACTCACTTGAGACAACCAATATACTACCTTTTTTCTGGGTGGTGAAGAAAACCCTAGGTTTTGATACACCTTGAGTTTACTGCAGTTAGTAAAAGTATTGATATGATATCAAAACCGTCAAGGGTTGGCAGGTAGGTTTTGATACCGGCACACTATGACTGCACGTGCCGGCACTCTGGCGCTCACAGAGCCTGGGGTGGCGGGACTAAGGCGGGTTGGGGGTGGCAGGGCGCTGCGCCACATCACGTGTCCTTGATACCGTCAGCAACGCCTGGGCCCCGCGGAGGTTTACCTTTTTTTTCGGCAAAATTCAACTGAGAACAATTCTACCATGAGTCAACCCAGGCTCGCACTTGAGGACCTTCTGTGTCACAATTTTAGACGATGTTTGGTGTTGTTAGACAGATGCGATAACCAACTACGCCATCGACCCGGTCACTCAAGTCCAACTTGTATCGTCAACGCATTGACCCCTTCTGGGTGGCACCTTTCGGACCACATTTCCATTGAGTATTCATTTCTTCCACCGTACAGTCGAATGTAAGGCAACTAGAATCTGACTCGAGCCAGTGTCTTCAGCTGGATTGTGTTCCCCCTTTACAGTGCACAGGCTATATAGCGACTCCTTTGAGCTTATGAAGGAAACTTTCCATTCCTCTCATTTGGATCCAGCAGCACAGCAATAACTTGAACGAGTGGTTAAATAAAAAGGAACGACTATCAACTTTGCTACACAAACAGCAAATTACGACGAGTTAATCAAACTAGCTACTCCTTCAAACCTTGGCACGATCTTACACTTAAATGGCAACGGGTGTCTACATGCCACACCTTAATAAGGACCACATTATGAAGTAAAGACAGACACTCACGAAACAGCACCGTCGGTATACGCGTCCACATCCGCCACCTCCTTCTCATCGGGGAAAATGTCGAAGGCCCACAACAGCGCCGCCACCGCGATATACGTCGAGTTCATAGCCAAATGCCGCCCAGGACAGATCCGCCTGCCGAAACCGAACACACCGAGGGTCGTTGGGTTGGGTTGAGGGTTATCGCCGATAAAGCGCTCGGGGTTGTAGGTCTCTGCGTCCGGGTAGGTCGCTTCGTCGTGGAGAATCGCCCAAGCGTTTCCATAGACGATTGATCCTATAATTGGAAAGGTAAGAGAGGTCCAGGTATTGGAAGAGGTCAGACGAACCAGCGGGAATGAAGTAGCCCTCGTATGTATCATCGGAGACACTAGCGTGGGGCATGGCTAGTATGCAATCGTTAAGATACTGTTGCGTTCTGCAAGACCAAAATGATGCCTACCGAGAGGTGTGACTGGTCGCCATCGCATAGACTCTAAAACGATCGCTTGGATGTACTTCAAATCGTCTTGGTCCTCGAAATCCGGGATCCGTTTCCGGCCAACGATCTCATCCAACTCTGCATGTGCCTTTTTCTGAATCTCCGGGTGATGTACGAGCGCAAGGACCGCGCTCAGTATTACTGATACAGTCTAGCCTGTGAATTAGAAATGTGTCAGATTGGTTGAGGAATACACGTACGGTGTCAGCTCCAGCGCCGAAGGCGATTCCCGCACAATTACGAACGACGTCCACCATGTTGAACCGAGAGTCAGAGGGAGCGTTTTTGGAGTTTTCGATGTTGACAGATGCGAACGAGGGTACGGCGGTCCCCGCATCCTGATTCGAGGTAAGTTGATTAGTGGCGTAGGAAACAGAAGCGACATACTATTGATTGGAGCAGCTCTTCGAAAGGCTTATCCCGCATAGCAATAGAGTCCCGTCCACCAATCTCTGCCTCCGTTTGGAACTTGGCGAACGGCATCCACGCTGCGCAATATTTAGCAGAGACAGGGATAACATGACTTGGCGCATACCAGGAACGCGTTTAAGGATCGGCAAATAGTCAACCAAGTAGTTTCCAACGACAAGTGCGTACATCACGCCACGCAGGGCCTTGTCTGACAGCGCTATATTCTTGTCGTTCTCCTGCTCTGCGTCATAGCCGTAGGTGAGACGAAGAATGATGGAAGCGGCATGGCTGCACACGACTATTAGCATGAACATGCAATCAAAAACGAAGGAGACGTACTATCGGACATGGCGGAAGAAATCATCGGGTGTCTGCAGCATCAGTTTGAGTAACGTGCGCGTTGTCGCCATCTGGATTGGGCGATACTCCAGGACTTCCTTGGCGGCGAAGTACTGGTGGAAAGTTTTCCTGTGGATTCTGCGAATAGCATAAGCATCAGTGACGATCGGATGAAGGAGAATTGCAAGTACCGCCATTCATCGGAGTATCTCATATGATTGAAGTTCCACGCCCATTTCATCAAGTCGTTCGCCATGTGAAAGGCTAAGTAGGTAGGCAAATCAGCGGCGCAGGTCAGTCGGCGACGTTCAACGTACGAGGTCGATCCGCGTAGTTTGACGATCTCTTTTCGAACAGCTCGTTAGCCCCCTTGGCAGAGTTGATGACGATGACGGGCTGTCCGAGCACTTCCAAGGACATGACGTCGCCATATTGCGCTCTCCAATTGGTATAGGTCAGCCAGGTCTTATCCACAGGCCTATTGAACAGGTTTCCGACGATGGGAAGGCGCCGTGGCCCAGGAGGAAGCGGGAGAGGAGATCGGCGTCTTTTCGCAAAAAAGACTACGGAGAAAGCGATCAGAGCGTAGAGCGCAAACGAATATAGTTCCATGACGCCTCAAGAGGGGAGGGCCTGAAGGAGAGAATAGTTAATTGGCGCCTTTAAGAGTCAGATTCCTTCGTTATGTAACATAACGACAGGGATGTTTGCCGTGTAGAGCCCCGTGGCTTGGACTTGGTTCAGAGAAGTCGTGGAGCGTAGGGACTGGCCGGGATGCTATTTGTGGTTGGGGTTTTGGTCCCAAGGCGCTGGTACCCTGATTCGAACGTCATTCAGTGCACAGGGACGCGGCGCAATCAATGTATTGCTGTTACGTTGGTCAGTTCATAAGAGAGCCATAAGAGTAAGTGAAAGAAGGGGTGCTGATGTGCACTTGTTTGAGATGATCGGCAAGACTTGATTGAGATCTTGAGAAGGGAAGACACAGCCTAGGCGTTCACAGTCGTAACCTATGCGCGCTAGCGCTGACAATCTGCGGGCTTCCCATACTTCTAGGTTAGCTACTTGGTACAGTCGTTGCGGTCCAGTGAAGACTCAGAGCGACCGCGTTCGTACCATGAGTGGTTGATGAGTGGTGTCAATAGATGTAGCATCAGCCTGCAGAAGAGCGCGCACCAAAGGGGCGTTTCCATGCGTGTACGTACTAGCCCAATTTTGCAGAGAATGGTGATACTATGATGGTGACGTGGAGGGGACGAACCTCTGCCGGTGAGAAAGAGGGCTTTACATGATAATATTCAGTAGGTGTCACAGGAGACAAGACACGTACAGGCAGTATCTGGGCAGTATCCACGATTGTACTGACTTGCAGGGAGCAGTCGGAGAAGAGTCGAGCGACCGCCGACCTCCCACGTCTAGATACAGAAAAGCTGAGAGCGGCCTGTACCACTCCTCCATGCTCTTTCCTCAATTTCAGCACTGGATGGTTAGTGTCGAGTATAACCGCGATATAAATGATTTGCTTGGGCGCGACCCAAGCCACAGGTAGCGAAAAGGGGAGACCGTTAATCAACATGGCGGATGAGATCTTGAATGCGCTACGCCTTATTTTCCTGACAGTGAGAGCGCCATGGCCATATGGGTGGGAAGCCGCAACGTGATCGCGTAAGGATTGTTTGACTCTGTGTGGCTTGTCGCCACGACGGCGCCTAACGAGGTCATCCCTACACGACCGCGTTAAAGGATGCAGGTGAGGCTTTACGGTAGTCCTGTAACCGAACCCTCAAATGTGACAAGTCGATCGACTTGTCACTTTTATTCGGTCGGTAACGAGACTACACCGCCAAAGTGCCTCCAGGTTGGATCGAGGTGGAACGATCGTGCGTGACACATGAGCTTCTCACCTTGCTGCAAGTCGGAGTCCATGTGGAAGCCATCAGAAATCGTAATGGGGGAGACCCTTGATCCAGGGGACCCGACGGCGGATGGCTTCAAGGGAGTCGTCAAGATGGATTCCATGTGGGCAAACGGCGGGGAACCATGTCAAGTGCATCGAGTCCCGACATCAACATTCTCGTTTGACAGCCATGGTGATCCTGTTGTTGTAAGGTTGAAGAGATGTTGGCTAGCTGAGGTACCCACCTCATTTTATTGTAGGCTCTGCATGTTACACAGACACCTTAGGAATCACAGCAGGGTTTAAAAAATCAAAATCATTAAAATAGCATTATGAGAACAGTGGAAGAATGCGAAATGACTACGGCTATGATATATGAGACTGGCACAAGGGCGGTAAGGCATGATGCTGTAATGACTGTGGGGTATGCAAGGTGAATGGCTACTTGATGGCGAGTCGCGACTACGCCGCTTGAGAGGTGAACACGTCGGGCAACGACGACTCGGCAGCCTGCTGGGCTGCAGATGTGGCGGCGGCGGCAGTGGTCATCACATCCAACTGTGCGGCAAGCATCAGGTCGTCAACCTGCTGCTGTATACCGCTGATGCTGGCATCCGGGCGAGGCCCTACACCCGAACCGTCTCCGATGTGCTGCTTCTTGTCGCTCTCGTAGATGAATTCAAAAGCCCTGGAACAATATCAGCAAAAGAAAGCGTAAAGACAATAATGACAACAACCTGACAAGTGCCGTAGCACTACCCTTCACAACCTGGACAATCACGGCATACTGGGCGTCGAGCTTATCCCAAAAGTCGTTCGCAGCGTGTTTCTTGAAAACCATGCGCTGTCGAGGGTTAGGGAAAGTCATTTGAGAAGAAATACGGCACTCACCATGAGGGCAATGCGACAGCAAAGGGGCACGGAGAGCTCACACTTGGTGTTCTTGATGAATGTACGGGCTAGAGTAAATATGTCGGGCTCGGGACCACCCTTCCTCCTGATAGCCAGCTAAGGATTCATGAGATAAGGCTGGAACAATGAAGGAGACATCATACATGTTTCTTGAACGTGGCCCTTGTCTGAGTGAGGGCGTTGCTGACAGCAGATTGGAGTCGATTATAGTCGGCGGCATTGGCTGTAATGCCTGCGGGAATTCCTAGAGGAAGGCGGAGCAGGAGTTTCTATGAGATAAACATGGTTCAGGCTTCGACCACGGAATGGCAAAAAGACTCACAAGAAGCGAGTCCGTCGCAGGAGCACCCTTGTAAGAGGCAATGTGACTGGAAAGAAGCATGGCCACAGAATACGAGTTGATGTTCTTGCGTAGGTCGTCGGAGACCTCAAAGGCAGGTGTCGCGACAACAATCTCCTCGACTTTGTTGAAGACAGAATGGAGCAGTGCAAACGTCTTGGCGTCACAAATATGCGGCGGG